ATATTCAGTGGTTTCAATAAGATAACGCAATTCCTCATACTGATGTGGAGATGAGAAATGTATCTGCAGAAAGGTTCGGTGACAGTATAAATCACCTTCAAGTTAAAACACATCTGGCTTCCTCATTCTCCAAACCTCAACACACTGGACTTCTTTCTGTGGGAATGCCTGAAGTACATATATGTACACATACACACACACATAACGCACGCGCACACACAGAGAGAGAGAGAGAGAGAGAGAGAGAGAGAGAGAGTGCCAATCCACGTGCGGGATGGTCTTCCCAGTTTGCTTATACAGTTTTCAGTCTCGACATTCTTCGCCTGTTGAGTCTGTCCCAGTTATCTGATTTCAGAAACACGTTTGGTAGTTTTTTTTTATGTATTTTTCTTGTCTACTCACGATGTCATCTTCATGCAACACTGCCTACCCGAAGCCAATGTAATTCTTTAGCTTTGGCAGTATCATCGTGTATAATATTATCATGTATAATGTTATCGTGTATGATATTAAATTGTATATTATCATAAATAATATTAAATTATATAATATTACCCTGAATAATATTATCTTGTATGATTTATTTTATATAATATATAATATCAGCTACTAGCCGTTTGAGCGTCTATCCAATGTTAGCCCAGGAGGAAACAGAGGACTGGGGTATCTGTAATGTTTGAGAGAGTCACACTGAATAACGTGTGTCTGGGCCTTGGCTCGAGCCCTTGACATATTTGTGAGACTTTAACACTTAACCGCTGTGTTAAGTACTCCGGTTTGGGAAAGCCTTCACTCGTTACTTTCCTGCCCCTGCATCTTATTCCATAAATATAACTTATCATTCTTCTTGGAGTAGCTTACATTATCTTTATCTTTTCTTCGTTAATTTTGATCTCCATGTTTGATATCCATCGCTCGTTTTGCTGTTGAATATAGGACTCAGTTTGCCAATGGCACTCTAGTTCACTCTGACTCATCCTTCAGTTTCCCTTCACTGGTTTTCATATGATGATACCAGTCACCTGAGATGCATTTCTTCCATCAGTAATCACAATTTAGCTTGTTGGTCTTTGTAAGCAAGTATTACATGAACCTGTTGAACATGTATTATACATTTATTTTTTCATAGTGTCAGCATTGAGTACATTTAGACTCCCATAAGTTTATATCTGTTATAGGTAAAAGGCCTTTCAAGTCAGTTGCATCATGTAGTTTTGTAAGTTAAGGCAAACAGAGTATTGGGTTTTATATCTAGAAGTGTAAGTAACACGAGTGCAGAGGTCTTATTGCAACTATATCTTGCGCTAGTCAGGCCGCACCTCGATTATGCGGTTCAGTTCTGGTGCCCATTATAGAATAGATATAAATTCACTAGAGTCGGTGCAGCGAAGAATGACAAAAATGATTCCGGGACTTAGAAACCTTCCATATCAGGATAGGTTAAAGAAACTTAACTTGCATTCCCTAGAAAGACGAAGAGTGCGGGGAGATATGATAGAAGTATTTAAGTGGGTGAAAGGAATCAATAAAGGGGATATAGATAATGTTCTTATAGTATCCGAGCAGGATAGGACTCGGTGCAACGGATTCAAGTTGGATAAGTTTAGGTTTAGGAGGAAGATAGGAAGAAACTGGTTCACAAATAGGGTGGTGGACGAGTGGAACAAGCTTAGCAACTTTGTAGTAAGTGCGGCAACTCTGGAAAGTTCAAAAGGAGGCTAGATAGATTCATGAATGATAGAGAGTGGTAGTAACTCTCGACAGGAGCTGCCATGCACAGGCCAACCAGCCTATCGCAACCGCCTTATTTTCTTATGTTCTTATGTAAGTTCAGAGCATGACATTATGAATCTAATGAAACATCTATTGAACATGTATGATTATATATATATATATATATATATATATATATATATATATATATATATATATATATATATATATATATATATATATATATATAATTATTTTATAATTTTTTTTTTTAATCAAACTAGCTTCAACCAGAAGTCTTTCTGTGACACAAGATGATTTGAATACTTCTAAGCTTTTTTCCCAAGCAATGGGATGATTATTATTCCTAACATGAACGAACAGGTCACTGCTTTCAGATGTTGTTCTGATATTGTACTTATGTTGTTTGATTCTTAGCTGCAATGTTTTTCCTTAGTGATAGTCAGTTCAAAACTGATATTATGTTACATAAATGTTACATAAATTTATTTGTCAGTGGCCCAAGGTAAAAAATGCTTTAAAAACTTTGGAGCTAGATGCAGGATAGTTATTTAGTGGGTCCCTTATTTTTTACTTGACCTGACCTGACTTGTCACGTCGCCTCCTTTCTCTTAAGCTACTCTACGTGTGTGTTGGTGTTGGTGTGGGGATTAGTGGATGACATCATTATGACTTGACCTCATGTTTAATAAGGTCACCCTGTATATTTAAGCCTCTCTCTGTCCATGTAATCCACTTGCCTCTGAAGATGCCTTGAATAAAGAAGGAAGCTAAGGTGCCAAAGGAAGGCTATAGGTAGAAGGATAAAGCGTGGCGAAATTTACCTCCAGGATTATTATAAGATATTGGCGAGTATGGTTAAATCCGAGATAAGGAAAGCCAAGAGGAATAAAGAGGTAAGGATAGCAAGGGAGGCGAAGACAAACCTCAAAGGATTCTACCAAATGTATCAAACTAATACACGAGAAAAGATTGGACTGATACGGCCAGTAACTGAGAGGAATGAAAGGATTTTTTAGCCCTTTTAAGGCAACGATCAACAAACACAGAAGGGTACCCAAGTTTCTGTGCAATAGAACGAATGTGTTTCAATTCATCGTCAATAAATTCAGAGTCACAAATACGCAGACATCTTAGGAACATAGCAGAAAAAACTGACATTTTGGTAGACTCAAGGTGATTCGATAAAAAGTGAATGAAACTGTCTACCTGTGTGGGCTTTCTATATACTTTTTATCGAATCACCTTGAGTCTACCAAAATGTCAGTTTTTTCTGCTATGTTCCTAAGATGTCTGCGTATTTGTGACTCTGAATTTATTGACGATGAATTGAAACACATTCGTTCTATTGCACAGAAACTTGGGTACCCTTCTGTGTTTGTTGATCGTTGCCTTAAAAGGGCTAAAAAATCCTTTCATTCCTCTCAAACCAGACAAGTTCCTACACTTAAGAATATTTTGACTCTGCCCTATCGTAATGAATTTGTCCCGTTAGTTCGGTCCCTCAAGCTTCTAAATATTAATGTTGTTTTCAAGTATGACTCGACCATTACCAATATGTTAATAAGGAATAGCCCAAGTTTGAATGTAAATGGAAGTGTTTATTGTATTCCATGTAGCAAATGTAATTGTAATTATGTAGGTCAGACAGGAAAAACACTGCAGCTCAGAATCAAACAACATAAGTATAATATCAGAACTGCATCTGAAAGCAGTGCCTTGTTCGTTCATGTTAGGAATAATAATCACCCCATTGCTTGGAAAAAAGCTTAGAAGTATTCAAATCATCTTGTGTCACAGAAAGACTTCTGGTTGAAGCTAGTTTGATTAAGGAATTAAAATCAATAAACCTTAGTGATGGTCAGTTCAAAACTGATAATATGTTACATAAATTTATTTGTCAGTGGCCCAAGGTTAAAAATGCTTTGAAAACCTTTGATCTTGATGTATGATAATTATTTTGTGGGTCCCCTTTTTTCTGACCTGACCTGTCTAGTCACGTC